TGGTCATTGGGGAAATGACCAGGCTACTGTCGCAGGAGTCGACAGCAGGGAGGATGAGAGCCCTCACAGAACTGAGGAGCTTGAGAATGAGAGCTGGTCAAGAGGTGGCCGATTTCTGTACTGCGTTGGAAGACTTGGGAAGGAAGGCCAATCCAGATTGTTCCATTGAGGATCGTTCGTTGGAATACGCCCAGATCCTACTGGATAATCTCAGTGACTGGCCGGAACACTTATCAGCTGGTTGGGGCTTTGCACAGGGTGGATTCCCGCAAGGCATATGAGGAAGTGAAACAACTAGCCTTGAGCATAGAACAGTCTAAGGTCATGTTCGGCGTTGGAAGGAAAGCAAGTGATGGCCAGTCGAAGAGGAGAGCCACACAATATCGCAACTGTGAAGAGATGGGTACAGCTGAAGAGGACGCGTTCTCTCACAATGGGGAGGAGAACGTGAGAGGAAAATTGGCCAGGGCAGAAGTAAGAAGCGGGCGGGACAACTACCAAAAAGAGTCACATGTGGACAGCGAAAGCCATAAGCAGATGCAGTACATCCCGCCTAGGTCTCGGCTAGCGGATACCGAGAACAAAAAGTGTTTCAAGTGTCTGAAATATGGCCATATAGCCAGACACTGTCCTGAGCAATCGATAAGGGTGAATCAGGTCAAGAAACAAAGCGACAATGAGAAAATTACTCTGTCAGAAATCATAAGGCAAGCTCGCAGTCTGGGAATGACAGCCAGACGAGAAGGGAAAAATATAGGTGATCTAGTAGGTGGTCGAGTTGTCAAACAGTTGAGTGTACTGGGTGCCATGATTCCAGCACTGATCGACACAGGGTCGATGGTTAGTGTAATTCCAGTGAATATACTAGCTAAAGCGCAGGATAGGGGAATTGACGTGGACGCGCTGAAACTGATCGAGGTGTCCCAACTGGCGCCTGTTTTCGATGCATCCAATAGGAGGATGGAATTTCTCGGAGCAGTATATATTGATACGGAGCTAGAAGGAGGAGATCGAGGGCTTGTACCGTTCCACATTAGCCCAAGAAAAGGCGGCGAAATTATTCTGGGTACTAATGCTCTGAGTACGTTAGGTGTGGTTCTGTCTGTAGTCGCGGACAATGAGAAAAGTAACGAACAGCGAATGGACAGAGTAGAGGTCAAAAGTGTCACGGTAGCAAGGCGTTTGAGCGTATCATTGCGACGATCAGCTGTGGTGTCAGTTAAGGGTCAGGATAAAATTTCAGCAGAACCACAAAGTTCAAGACGGTCCGATAGGAGAGGTGAAGAGAATAGCCTTTGCAGAAAGCAAGATCAAAAACGCGCAGTGATCTTCCCCAATGGTGCGATCATTGATGACAAGAAATGTAGAAGAGGACGGAATAGGAGAGAAAGTAAGATGAAGATGGAAACCATTCAAAGAAAACCTGTTAGAGATGCAGAGCCACACCACTGGAATGTGTGCTCATGTGGAGCTGCGTCAAAGCAGTTGGATGTCGTTTGCTTAAGAAAGTCGCATCGCGCCCGTCACCTAGTAGCAGAGGAACGGTCGATGAGGACATCGACTTCAGCGAGGGGGGGCATGTTAGGGAAAGGCATGCCTGCCTTCAAGACGCCAGCTATGATCAGCTGGTTTGAGCACGGTAGGTCGAGGAGGAGGCTGTGGTTGTCGATCGCGCGGGGTCATAGGAGACCACCTTGCCAGAGGGAAACGGTTCGGGCGGGAACGCACCATATAAAAGAGACCCAGGAGTTGCAGTAGGAGGAGGTGCGGTCAGGAGAGAACCGCAGTGGCCCGTAAGAAGGAGGGCCTAAGCTCGATAGAGGAGAGCAAGAGGTTGTATCAGTGGCTCAGTGAGGAGAGCCTAAGTGGACTGGACAGGGAGCCTAAGTGGCTCGAGTTGATAAGCCTTAGTGGCAGTGAGTTGAAGGAGCCCCAGTGGCTCAAGGTAGGAAGCCTTTGTGGCTTGTGTTGAAGAATTAGTTCGCGCCGTGCACCCGACTGTGGTCCCGTATTCGGTGGTCGCCTCGAGTTCGCCATCTACGACTCGCCTCAGTGTCTCCGCTAACTAGCGATCTTTCCAACTACTATTTCTTGATTTTGTCTGTAAATAAATTCTTATTTTACTGCTTGTCTTTTCCGCACAGTCAAAAGGTCACTACTTCGTGTCGCAACGCACGAATCCAGGTTGCTTAAACCTTACATGGGGGCCGAACCGGTTGCGACAGTACGAGTGACCAGTAGCTGAGCGAGCAAGACGAGTTCAGTGCCCCAAAAGGAGGAATTGATTCAAGGGTCGACTCCGAAGGCAAGAGGAGCCGATAGCAGTGATAGCAACTGAAGTGGAAACGTTCGCGCTTCGTGGCCTAGGCAGGTGTTCGCAAGAAGGCAGGCGAACAGTCAGGATCAGGACAAAGATGGCGAACGAAGCTGCAGTAAATGATGAGAACAAGGTTTTTGAGGAAGAAACCGGCTGCGCAAGTGAGATAAACAGCACTGGAGCTGTGAAGCAGGAGTGGGAGATGTGCCTGCAAATTTTTGGTGAGGCGCAGCGGAGAGCAAATGAGATTCTTGGAAAGTCAAGAGTATCGAATCAGGTCAAAGCAGAGTTGGAACAGGTATGGGCCAAAGCTATGGAGGACATGGGAGAATTGAGGAGGAGAGGCCAAGGGGAGAAACTGTTGTTCCCGCCACTGGAGAAGGAGATTGTGGAGACCCTATGTCGAAGAGGAATTGGATGTGTCGATGATTGGAGAGAGTATATAGAGACTATGGAACAAGATGGAGAAGTCTTATCAGAAATTTGTAAAATATTGGATACTGATGTGTTACACGTAAAAAGTGCGATCCTGGCTCTCCAAGAACATAGGAAGCCTAAGAAAGAGTCAACAGATGTCCAATGTTTCGTGAGCCAACCAGGGTTCCTGAACGAAAGAGGTGGCCATACCAACCGATTCCAGGCGATGCCTCCGATGGGTCGGGACTATGTTGTCCCCTCAAGGGTATGTTCGCCAGTTCCGCCGGTTACTAGGCCAGCAATGGAAGACCCAGGCGTGTCAGTTCTGACATATCTGAGATCCATGGCGTGCGCGGATCCTGGAGTATTCAGTGGAACTAAACATGAGAATTTTGAAGAGTTCGTGAGGAGATTCAAAAGGAAGTACGAGAAGGTGATAGGATGCGAGGCCACCTTGATAGAAATTCTAGGTGACGACCATCTAGGTGGTCGAGCAAAGAACATATTCACGGCCCTTCCAAGAGTAACCAAGGAACGAGGTTTCGATGTGGTCATTGGGGAAATGACCAGGCTACTGTCGCAGGAGTCGACAGCAGGGAGGATGAGAGCCCTCACAGAACTGAGGAGCTTGAGAATGAGAGCTGGTCAAGAGGTGGCCGATTTCTGTACTGCGTTGGAAGACTTGGGAAGGAAGGCCAATCCAGATTGTTCCATTGAGGATCGTTCGTTGGAATACGCCCAGATCCTACTGGATAATCTCAGTGACTGGCCGGAACACTTATCAGCTGGTTGGGGCTTTGCACAGGGTGGATTCCCGCAAGGCATATGAGGAAGTGAAACAACTAGCCTTGAGCATAGAACAGTCTAAGGTCATGTTCGGCGTTGGAAGGAAAGCAAGTGATGGCCAGTCGAAGAGGAGAGCCACACAATATCGCAACTGTGAAGAGATGGGTACAGCTGAAGAGGACGCGTTCTCTCACAATGGGGAGGAGAACGTGAGAGGAAAATTGGCCAGGGCAGAAGTAAGAAGCGGGCGGGACAACTACCAAAAAGAGTCAC